CGGGAGCGAGAGATCACCACGTTGAGCATTACGAGTGTCGCCATAGAGGACTGAAACGAGTTGTGAAGCAGCCGAGCGATCACCATGAGAAAACGGAGTAGCATAGGTGAACGTCTCCTCAACTGGAATGGCATCGGAATTCCGAACTTCACCAAGAGATTGATCATGCGAATGATGAGTTGTGAAGGACTCCATTCGAGACAGAATGCGCTGGTATCCCTGATGCTGCCAGTCGCGGATGGTCCATGCCTGACCGTGCTCACCAGTGCGCCCATTGGGATCAGTCACCCGCTGCCATTCCCGAAAAGAATTGTCTGGTAGATCAGGTACAGTTTCTCCGTGGTGCCATCGCTGAGGCTGTCCTGCAGTGTAGATCCGCACCCACTCCTGATCCTGCCAGACCGAGTATTCGAGCCATGGGTGCTGCTTCGAATCCTCGATGTCCATGTCGAAGTAAGAGGCAAGGCGTATCGCGGGCTCCGATCCAGCTGATAGAGGAACAGGCACCATGCACAACCATGTACAAGCAACAACCAAGCAAGGTAATGCAAGTGTGAAAACCACCCTTATTTTGTACGCTACCCCACTCGCGTGCGTCTAGTCCTCATTTAGCTCGAAGATCGGTCTCGCCTTGGCTTTGCAGCTGTCGGGAGGATTAACAGGCCGGTATGGGTCGGAGACCCCAACCGTCTCCGATGGTGTGATTCCACGTGATGCACGTACAGGTTGATGAAGTTGGGAAGCGTGACGTGCGCGAGCTGTCAGTTGTTGAGAAATCCCCTCTTGGAGACGAGTCAGTTCTTCGGTAGAGAAATCCGCCGCATCCGAGGATCTAAGGATCGCTTCTAACATCTGCGGTGACATACTCAATGCCGCGGATTGCGTGGCCACGCTGTGATGATCAGGAAAAGACATAGAATCAAAGTCATGACCAGCTTGAGGGGCAGCGACTCTCCGATAGCCCTCTGTGGCCCAGTCTCTTTTGTACCACATGGTGACATTGAGCTGCTCACCGTCTTGGTCCGGGTTGGGAGCATAGAACTCCCTCCACTCTCTATACGTGTGCGGTGGAGGTGGAGCATCATGTTCTTCATGTGGAGTCCATGATCCCGGATGAAAGATCTTGACCCACTGGGCATCTGGTTGTTGAGGATCCGGACACCATTCCAGCCACGGCATGACAACGCAAACCCGGAAAGACAGATTGATAGGTGTACGGCTGCAGACAACAATTACTGCAAGAGACACAACAACAACCACGCAAGCAATCACTTTTGCAGCAATGCACGGCTCAGGTGTTGAAGTCCATCTCCTGAATCGAATTGAATTGAATAGACTCCCCAGGAAGACGAGGACGAGCATCAGCCACCATCTGAGTTTGAAGATGCCGACGAAGAGGTCAGTCCAGCGTACATGAGGTCCGGTGAGCCCGAAGCGAAAACTGGACGCGCAATGCTAGGGTGTGGACGACCCAGCCGTTGATATCCTCTGGTGACCCAGTCCCGATAATGCCAAGTATAGAAGGATGCATAAGAGACCGGCTGAGAAACAGCACCCATATTGGTGCCGCCCGTGCTCTCCCTCGGCCAATACACTTCGAAGTGGTATACTTTGCGCCACTCCCGATAGGTGGTTGAGTCCTCCGGGGCAGGCCCCAAGGTGTTTTCGGCGACTGGATGCCACGGACCCGGTACATAGATCCGAATCCACTCAACGCTTGTGTTCGCGGGTCCATTGACGATGTCGTAGTCAAAGTAGTGTGGCAGGGCCCATCGTGCAGCGCCATACATTGTAGAATTGAACATATCAACCAGGCAAGCCGCTCGAAGTCATAAAGGAAAGCGGCGAACACATGGAGACGGAACGCACAACACCAAGCAAGACAACCCAACATGGAATCGCATACAGAGCAAGCACAACCGCGTCATTTTATCCGACATGTTGCTCAAGTATCACTCCGAATCGTTCCAAGGATCAAAGAATGGTGGTGGTGACGGCTCTCGCCACGCCCCATCCGGAACCGATGAGTCCACCGAGGAATTGGCGTCTGCATTCACGAGCATCGCGAGTCCAATGGCTGGTAAAGGAGCTCCAAGTCGTTGATACCCTCGTGTTTGCCAGTCTCGGTACTCCCACACGTGGTAGGACACATACGAACTGGGCGTGACAATGGGATCCGTTGTTGTTCCTCCGGTGCTGTCTTCGGACCAGTACACTTGGAAGCGATATGACCTGCGCCACTCCCGATACGTGGAAGCGCAGACCGGGTCGAGCACTGGAGCATCATCGGGAACGGGTCGCCACGTGCCCGGTGAGTAAATTCGAATCCATTCCACTCCTCTGTCGATCTGGTACTCGAAATATTGAGGGTTCATAGCGGCAAGACAGGCTATCGCGCGGCCGCTAAAAGCAATCGAAAATCTGCGGCGAAGACACACATGCAATGACAACCGCGCGCAGCTGAAGGGATGCAAGGCAACTTTTCAAACTCAAGGTGAGACACAGCAGCGAGGTTTGTAATATACGACGCCTAAGCTTCACCGCCGTTGATGCCGCGCACACCTGCAATGATAATGTCCTGGTCGTCTACGATCACAAGGGGAAAGACATTTCCGCCCATGGCGCAGGAAGGCATGACAGTAATGCTTGCAATTTGCCGATGGGGACAGCGATGGACGGCCAGCACGTTTGGAGGGGAACACGGTAAAGGGCCGCCGAGATCTCCGCGGTGCAGAAGCGGATGCTGTCCGAGATCGTTTGGATGAACGCCCTGGACTGCGTAGCTCTTCATCACGGGAATGGTCAGTGCTGTAGATCGAGCGGCGTGTGCGCTGCGATTTCGATGTGGCAGGGCAGGATTGTCCGCGAGGAGCTGAGATCGAGGGGCTCCGTACTGAGGGCATAAACTGTGGGTGTAGAATCACCGGTGGTGGTGGCGGTGGAGGAGGCGGAGGTGGAAGAAGCAGTGGGAAACTTGGTGGGGGCGGAGGTGACGTAGTCTGCCGAATGGGTCTGTCAAGCAGGGCTCCAGGTCCGTGAAACTGTAACCACGTCGGCTGCGCTCCATGGGTCCAAGTAATGTACGTCTGTACGACTTGTTCCGACATGATTTGAGCAACTCAGTCATGCATTCAATTCACGTCAGCGGCAACACCCACAACGGCAAGCAATATTACCCTGGTAAAATGCCAGTCAAGTGCAAGCAAGCAAATTTCATGTGATCAATAATGACTGCAATCCCAACCGTCGCAACAACCTGCAGCGCT